ACACCCCTAGTGCTTACAATTTGCAGAAGTCGCTTAAACTCTGGGCTTGTCTCCCAAAATTCGGTCCAGTTGTTGGTAAAATGTTCAGGTCACACGTCCACGGCCGCTTCGTTTGTTTGAGTCTTTAGTCTCCTTGTGTTTGTCTCGCAGGATCTTTATTTTTCGTTGACGTTGGAGTCAGGACCGACTGTAGCCGCGCTCGGACATTTTTTTAGTATCATTTCAAAAAACGCCCGGTTCTGATAAGATTCCTCCAATTTGATCTGAATACGGAGATCCCCCAAATTTGAATGTCCAAAGGTTTGTCCGCTTAGACGCCCGGGTGATTAGGACAGAGACTAGACTGGGACTGGGACTGAGACCAGGACCAGACCAGAACTGAACCAGGACTGAACCAGGTCCCAGTCATCAGTCCTGGTTGAGTCCTGTTTTAGTCCTGGTTTAATCCTGTTTTAGTCTTGGTTTAGTCCTCATTCAGTCCTGGCTTTAATCTTGGTTTAGTCCTGTTTTATTCCTGGTTCAGTCCTGGTTCAGTCCTGGTTTAGTCCTGGTCTAGTCCTGGTTCAGTCCTGGTTTCAGCCCTGGTTCAGTCCTGGTTCAGTCCTGGTTTAGTCCTGGTTCAGTCCTGGTTCAGTCCTGGTTCAGTCCTGTTCAGTGGTTCAGTCCTGGTTCAGTCCTGGTTCAGTCCTGGTTCAGTCCTGGTTTCAGTCCTGGTTCAGTCCTGGTGGTTAGTCCTGGTTCAGTCCTGGTTCAGTCCTGGTTCAGTCCTGGTTCAGTCCTGGTTTAGTCCTGGTTCAGTCCTGGTTCAGTCCTGGTTCAGTCCTGGTTTAGCCCTGGTTCAGTCCTGGTTCAAGTCCTGGTTCAGTCAGTCCTGGTTCCTGGTTCAGTCCTGGTTCAGTTCAGTCCTGGTTTAGTCCTGGTTCAGTCTGGTTTCAGTCTGGTTTAGTCCTGGTTTCAGTCCTGGTTTTCTGTTCAGTCTGGTTCTGGTTTAGTCCTGGTTCAGTCTGGTTCAGTCCTGGTTCAGTCCTGGTTCAGTCCTGGTTTAGCCCTGGTTCAGTCCTGGTTCAGCCCTGGTTCAGTCCTGGTTCAGTCCTGGTTCAGTCCTGGTTTAGCCCTGGTTCAGCCCTGGTTCAGTCCTGGTTTAGTCCTGGTTCAGTCCTGGTTCAGTCCTGGTTCAGTCCTGGTTCAGTCCTGGTTCAGTCTTGGTTCAGTCCTGGTTCAGTCCTGGTTCAGTCCTGGTTCAGTCCTGGTTCAGTCCTGGTTTCAGTCCTGGTTCAGTCCTGGTTCAGTCCTGGTTTCAGTCCTGGTTTAGTCCTGGTTTAGTCCTGGTTTAGTCCTGGTTTAGTCCTGGTTCAGTCCGGCATCGCAGTTTAAGTCACAGAAACGGGAAACGGTCATTATCCGATTTTTTCCATTTTTCATTTAAATACAAAATCGAAAAATGGTTTTGGAGACAAATAATGAAGAAAAAATGTATTTATTTTTCTTATTTTTGTTTTTATTCTGAAAAACAAATGAACAAATGACACACAGATTCAGGCTAACCACTCTGCCGCAGTAACACCAGCCTCCACAGATGAACAGTGACTTCAGTTTTATTTCAAACTTATTTACAAAGATCACACACGTAACAGAGACGTCCAGAAACAAAGACTCGTGAAGTTCTGGTTAAGGCTTAAGGCGAACGAGTCAAACCATGAAAAAGTGGCAAAAAAGAAAGCTATGCAAAGAGATGTTATCGCTTTGCCTGGAATGTTCCGCAGTGTGGCATTAAAAAAACAGAACTAGTTCATTTGTAACAGTCTGCAGTCTGTTCAAAGTTACTCCTTGTTTACTTTACGCATTCAGAGCGTCTTAAATATTCACCACAATCAGTTTCTCAGCACGTTTTACAATTTTCAGAGACCAGAGCAAAAACAACTAACATGCTAACAGCGCATCAGCCTTACATCCTAGTTCGTGGATGATAAAAAGGCTTCAGACAGCACACAGAGGTCTCGTTTGGACCTTAAGAGCTGCTTTTACAACAGCAAACTGGACTGGGGCAAGATCATGTTTTACTTTATTCCAATGATAAAGAACGTACGGAAGCCCTGAGCGGCAAAAAAAAAAAAAAAAAAAAAGACGTAAATTTTGACAAATTTTTTTGACCTTTTTGGACCAAAAAATATTCTTGCCTTTGTGCAAACAAAAAAACAAAACAAAAACAAACAGCTATAAAAAAAAATTATAATGAAATAAAAAAATTGACTTTTTTGCAAACAGCTATAAAAACATTTATAAAAAATTTACTGTTCAAAAAAATCTTGCCTTTGTTTACACAAACAGCTATAAAATAAATTAACTGTGCAAAAAACATGCATTTTTTTGCAAACAGCTATGAAATAAATAAATAATTAACTGAGCAAAAAAAAAAAAAAAGAAAAAAAAAAGGACATTATAGACATTATTACGGAAGCCCAAAGCAGCAAAAAAAAAAAACACTCTGGGTTTCTGTAATACGGAAGCCCAGAGCAGAAAAAAAAAAAACAAAAAAAAAGAAAAGGAACTTGTTGGTGGGGGGGGACGTGCCTCTTTTTTGTGTTTGTGTGTTATTTTGTTTTTTGCCGCTCTGGGCTTCCGTAGCCCCTTTAGGCCATAGAAACATCTGTAATTGGTGACAATAACAATAATAAAATAAAAAATTAACAAAAAAAATAAATAAATAAAATAACTGTTTGGCACGTTAATTTTAATATATTTATTTCTATTGCTTGTCACCAGTCAAATCTGTGGAGAAACTGTGACAATGGACGGTTTTCTTATAATTTCAATATCAATAATTGAATGGAAACGTGTAATGCCACACTGAGGAAAATTACAGAAAAAGCAAAAACAATCCCAAATATGAAAACAAATTTTGACAAAAAGTAAAGATGTGGTCAAATAAAATAAGACATATAGTGTAAGTAATAATAATAAAAAATCCAGTGTTTTTTTTTCATCTCTGTGCCGAAACACTGGACTCCTTTTATTGGTCAGCCGCTGTCAGGCTCTGAGTGAGTGACAGGCGGATTTAACCAATCACAGTGAAGCATGAGCTCTCAAAGGAAGCAGAGCGGTAACAGTTAAACATATTCACTTTCCCTGTTGGTGATCACAATATTAGATCAGGCGGTGCATATACGCAAAATTCAAAAAACACGATAATGTTTTGGTTAAAAAATGTGCACTATTTGATATTAGAAGTTTATTTTTAACATATTAAAATGGAAAAAATGGATGTGGTTGATAAAAAAATCTGAAATAATTTAAGATTAAAAATGCAGTGATGAGAATGTGTTAAGACTTACAAAATTAAAGTCGAACTAAACACTAAATCATTTTCATTTTTTTCGATAAGTCCTAGTCATTTTTTGGCAATTTTTGTGCAAACTATGTACATCTGCAGCCTGTTTTCTGTAACGCTGAGCTGTTTAATGTCGTATTGGCCACGTTTACATGATGGTTTTTGATTCCGAATAAACTGTTCTGAATTCAATAGTTCTGAATTATTATTTCCATGTAAACTTGAAGGAGAATATTTTAATTCCAAATTGAGGTTTCCATGGAAAACAAGTTAAATCGCGTTTAATTAATTTCGCTCATCGTCTGGGGGGTGGGGAAGGTTCTGATTGGACAGAGACACGAACGTATTTACGTCGACCGGAAGAAAACACACACTTCAGCTGCTACCGGCTTTTCTGTCATCTCGGTTTGTCGTTACTCCACGGACACAAACACCATCCAAACTATTTCCACAGTCGTTCCGATGATGATGAAGCAGCAGCTGGAGAATTCTCTCATCACGCTTTACGTCTGTCGGCTGAGGAGGAGAAGGGAAGAGTGTCGGAGAAGGGAGGAAGAAGACAAACTGAGTGTGAGGCTGCTCTACCTCAGCCCACTCCCACATCCTGCTCACAAATCCAAATCCAAAGACGTGGATGAAAGTCTGAAGACACGACTGGTGGAGCCGGATCGTCCTGATCGCGTCAGAAGAGCGACACAACGAGATGAACGACCAAATGTGTGAAGAATCCCTCAGTCGTCCAGGTAGAATCCAAGTCGAGGAGAAAATTCTGTTTGTCGACTGGACAAAAGTTAGTTTGGTTGAAGACGTTTCGCGGCTCATCCAAGCTGCTTCTTCAGTTCTGGTCAGACGCTGGTGGACACTTCCTTATATCTGTCTGCAGGGAGGAGCTAACTACACTGAAACTACTCTGAAACTAACACATCTACCTGTTCACAGTTTGTGTTTGTTAGTTCGGCCTATTGACCTGTACAGGGTGTGGAGTCTAGCAGAATCATTCATGGCCATAATGGAGCTTCCACACCTCTGGACCTGACCTGGACACACCTGTTGTTCTCTTGTTTGTTTTGATTCAGGTTTGAGGATGGAGTTGTAAATAGGAGATAGATGGTGTCTGATTCCTCCATTTCTGTTTAGAGAAGGATTCTCTTTCTTAACAAAAATGGCTTCTTTCACTCTCCTCTCAAACCAATTCTTTTCTCTGGCTAAAATCTGTACCTCACTGTCCTCAAAGGAGTGGCCCGTGGCTTTTAAGTGGAGATGTACAGCAGACTGAGGTCCTGTGTTGCTCTCTCGTCTGTGTTGGTACTTCTTCTTGTGAAGTCTTGTGCAGTTTAGTTCACAAGAGCATGTACCAACACAGACGAGAGAGCAGCAGTGGACCTCAGTCTGCTGAACATCTCCACTTAAAAGTCACGGGCTCCTCCCTGCAGATATAAGGAAGTGTCCGCCAGCATCTAACCAGAACTGAAGAAGCAGCTTGGATGAGCTGCGAAACGTCTTCAACCAAACTAACTCTTGTCCAGTCGACAAACTGAATTTTCTCCTCATGAATGACCAGAATTATTTTTAAGAAGAATAAACGCGAAACATGATCCAGGAATAAATTAATTTGGCTTTAGAATCAGCATAAACCACCGATTTTCATTAGGAATTAAGCGTTTACGTCGTCTTTTTAAAGCGGAATTAATTTTTATTCAGAATTAAAGCTCTCGTGTAAATGTGGGAATTGTGGAACATTCCAGGCAGAGCAATGACATCTCCATAGAAACAAGCGGGTGACGGACCCCACTCGAAAAGTTACATAGTGCACTGGTAAAAATCAGGTACAGCACCTTTAACCAAATAATCCTGACATCCAAAATGACCGCGATACCTCGTACTTCTCCTTCACTAAATGTGTCATGTTTTCAGTCAAACTTCTCTCTGTGCGAAATCAGTGAAATCAGATAAATATTAGAATTTTAAAGACAATTTAAAAGTAATAAATATTCATAATTTAACTCTATATTCCACAGTTCACTCTGGTCTGTTACGTCGCCTCAGACCGGACGCTGGCTCCGCTCCGATCTCCTCCACACTCGCTTCCCGGCCGTCCTCCAGCAAAGGCATGTCCTCCTCCTCCTCCTCCTCCTCTTCGTCCTCGTCTAGCCCCGCCTCTTCCTGTTTGAGCTCCGCCGCTTCCTGCTCCTCCTCAGCCGTCTGCTCTCCCTCCTCTTCCTCTTCCTCTTCTCGTTCTGCGGTTTTGGGCGGTTTTTCGCACAGGTCCTGCTCCTCCGTGACGGTTTCCTCGGAGATCGGCTGCATCATTGTGGGGGTTTTTCGCGCCGGAGTCTCTTTGGAGCCCAACGACTCGATCAGACTGTCCAGGTTTCGTTCACAAGCGCCGTCTGGGGAAAGCGAAACATTTAAAAAAAAAAAAAATAATTAATGTCCTGGTTTAGTTCTGGCTTAGTCCATGTTTGGTTCTTGTTAAATCCTTTTTTTGGTTCTTGTTCTGTCCCGTTTCAGTACAGGTCTAGTCCTGGTTTAGTCCTGGGCCAGTTCTTTGTAGTCCTTGTTTAGTGCTGGTTTAGTCCTGGTTCCATAAAACTTTACTTTGCCCATCACTAAATTCTGGTTTAGTTAACTGGATTATTCACTTGGTTTAGTCCTGGTCTAATACTTGTTGAGTCCCTGGTCTAGTACCTGGTCTACATGGTCTACAGCACCTGGTCTACAGCAGCACCTGGTCTACAGCAGTACATGGTCTACAGCAGTACCTGGTCTACAGTAGTACATGGTAGTACCTTGTCTAGTATCTAGTCTAATATCTAGTTTAGTATCTAGTTTAGTCCTGGTTTAGTCTGTTTCTCGTTGTCACAACAGTTTTTGTGAGTCCAGGTGAGGGCATCTGCTGTTCAGTCCAACTCATTTCCAAATTCTTAAAAATGTACAGTAGTTTTAAAGTTTGTCTCTTTTTTCTGCCCGTCCTTCCATCCAGTGTAGTACAGGTGTAGTACACTGTAGTGTAGTACAGTGTAGTACAGGTGTAGTACACTGTAGTGTAGTACAGTGTAGTACAGGCGTAGTACACTGTAGTGTAGTACAGTGTAGTACAGTGTAGTACACTGTAGTGTACAGTGTAGTACGTAGTACACTGTAGTGTAGTACAGTGTAGTACAGGTGTAGTACACTGTAGTGTAGTACAGTGTAGTACAGGTGTAGTACACTGTAGTGTAGTACAGTGTAGTACAGGTGTAGTACACTGTAGTGTAGTACAGTGTAGTACAGGTGTAGTACACTGTAGTGTAGTACAGTGTAGTACAGGTGTAGTACACTGTAGTGTAGTACAGTGTAGTACACAGCGGCAGTAGCTCAGTTGGTCGAGCATTCGCCCACTGATCTGAAGGTTGGCAGTTTGATTCCAGCTCTCGACATAAACATTACAGGTTGAGCGGTCAGAACAGGTGATGTTACTTTGTACACCGAGTGCAGTACAGGTGCAGTACAGGTGTAGTACAGGTGTAGTACTTTTCTGATCAGGTGTTACCTTGTACGTTGAGCGGAGGACAGTCCATCCCTCTCTTCTTCATCAGGTACCTGATGGTCTGCAGCTGGTTCATGATCTCGTTCTTCTGATCCTGAGCCACAGACTTCACACTGAGACAAAGACACAATGTGACACCACAAACTTCAAAACTACTCAAGAACTTTAAATCTGCACTGCGGAACCTTCCTGGTATAATTCTAACCTGGAAAAGTAAAAGTTTACCCCCTTGAATAGTCAAAAGTTTTTTTTTTATGTTATTGATTTGCATTCTCAGCAAAACAATAACATTAAAAAAAACCTTTTGACTATCAAGGGGATAAACTTTTACTTTTCCAAACAATGTTTCTAAGCAAATGACCCATGAGAGCTCATTTTCAAAAATTCTGTTTGAAATGAAGTTAATAGTAGATGTTTTTATTACTTTAAACTACTCAGAATATGACAAAGTTTCTAGGGTAAAAAAAATTGAAAAAATTGAAAAAAAAAAAAAAAAACTGCGTGGCAACCAAATTTGAGATTTTGGGGCCCACAGCACCCCCCTTGATAAAGACACACAATATTTGACAACAGATTAAGAATCTACAATAATACATGTTTTCATCTTCTTAGCTCTATTTTTATGAAGTTCTGGTCTCTCAAAAATGTTTATAAATTAAGGCTTCTGATAAAGTGGACATGGCCCCAAAATTTCCACGGGCCATAACTCAGGAACGACTGAAGGGATTGAGCTAAAATTTTAGATTTTTTCATTTGGTAATTTTAGAATTTTTTTCAAGGTTGTATGGAGGATTTTTGTTTTGTTTAAAATTGTCATTGAAAGTTTAAAATACCATTACAGAGACGCAGCAGCTTTTAATTATGATGACCGAAAAAAAAAGAAAGAATGAAAATCTATCAGTTGTGGACGTAGTGAGGCCAGATAAACATCAGCCAATAGAAAACGAGGCTCCCTCTTTTTCTATTGGCTGTTAGGTTGTCAGTCAAACTCCCTACATTTTTAGTGTAACTGACTCGTCGGCGCTCGGGGATTATGTGGTTTATGCGGCGGTTCTTTGAGGCTTTTTCAAACTGTAGCTTCCTTGCAATTCGCACAAAGTTTGTTGCGATGGCGGACGAGAATCCACGACCAGTTCGCCGCAAAAGAAAGTCCGAAGGGTCTAAAAACTGACGCGTCGGTCGCTAAAATATTTCTAGGCAGGTCACTTCAACAGTAATTCTGAACATGCACTGGATGTAAACAAATGTGATTTCTAGAGTAAAGAGGCGGGAGGAGGAGATGTTTCTACTGAGGAAGGTGGTGTCACACATGCACAACATTTTGAAAAAGGACGGTCGCTGTATTTCGCTTCCCTTAAAAAATCCTCTATACAACCTTTAACCTTTAACCCCACCTCATTTTGGTGTGTGCACAATAGCACTACATACCCAAATGCCATAGCTTATTAAAAGAAAACCTTAGAACCCACATGCTTGTGTGAGGCACCATTTTAAAGCTTAGGCCTTCTAGTTTCTGTAGATATGTACATGAAGACTGTGAGTGCTGCCTAACCTACAGTACAGTCAATTAAAATTGAAAAAAAATTGTATTTTTTTGCTTTGAAATTTTTTTTTTTTTAAATTAAAGGCCTTAGCTTGGGCATACTTCATTCTAGGCATTTGTGACTCACTACACTCATTGTTCAAGTTGTTGGCAACAACTGTGTAGAATTTCAGATCTCTAGGACAAAGGGTTTTGATGCTGTGAGCCTTTGTGTAAACAAAATGACAATTCGGCACAAGATTGCCAAATTTGTGCCAAAATAATAATAATAATAATATAATAATAATAATAATTGTTATTATTATAATACTAATTCTTCTGAGCTTTAGGCATGTTTTCTCAAGAAAAAAAAAACTAAAAGTAGCCAAAATTGTCCTCCAAGTGGAAGATCTGCCTTCTATAGCACCGCCCGCACTGCTCCCTGTCTCCCTCGCTCTTACGCTTATAAACACAGGGTCCGTTTCCAATACAATCTGAATGTCCCACCCACCGTTTGAAAGCTCTGGTGATAGGCTAAAACAATATGTCAATCACTTTCTGGAAGATCCAATGACTGAAGAGATTTCCCGTAAACAAACTGATGACACGTGCGTAAAGCCAGGAAGTAGGTGGGTGCGTTAGCGGCTTGTCCCACCTAAACCCCGGCACCGACAACAGCGGGGAGGGTCTCATTTTGAAGCTAAGAGTGTGAGGAAAACAAGCGTACCCAACAGTGCTAGCAAACCTGCTAGAAACGCAGTGGAAGAAGGAAGAGAAGAGAAACTTTTTTTCATATCATTGTATCCATCGATTCATACAGACGAGGGTTTTTTGGATTATTTCCCCACATGGAATTATTTTATGGAAAAAACAACTTGATATTCTTTTTCTGTGGATTATTACGGACTTATTGAGTACAACTTTTCATGGATTGAATGCGTTTTGGACCGACAGAACCGGCTCAAAGTTAAGAAACGCGTATTTTATTCTTTGATTATGATGTGAATTTTTAAGTTATAGCGTTTTGGGCTCGTTGTACAGCATAAAATGAATGATATGGTTGTTTTATTGAGAAATTAAGCTTTCAAACGATGTATGGCATGCCAGTAGTGAAAACAATAATGAATGGTGAAAATACAGAGTGAAAATTTTTTTTTGGAAAATCGCCCGCCGGCGGGCGGGTGGATGGTAAGTGGTTTTAAGCCAAATCTGAAATGGCTCACAGGGGAAACTCTTTGAAAACGACTCATTTCATATAAAGGGACTCATTTATCCACTACTAAAGCTCCCGTCTGTACGTTTATTAGATCTTTTTAGTCGTTTTTTTTAGAAGTTTAATTTTCTCCCTTAAATAAAAATCTGTGTAATCGTGAGCGTCTTCAGCACTGACCAGTTGGTGAGCGGGTCCAGCTGAGTGAGGATGGAGTTTAACATGCGCTCGGTCTGGGCCAGCCTCTGCTCCAGCTCGTTCAACTGGTTTTCTGCACACACACATTTTTCATTTTTATCGTCATGGTGATTAAACACACAATATTTAACAATCAAGATCCAAAAGCTGCATGTTTAAACCACACACCTGCCTCCACGGACTTCTTCGCCCCTTTGGCCAGTTTCTCCTTCTGGGCCTGGTCGTCCGCAGATTTTATCTACAAAACACGAGAAAACGTAAATGGACACGGCGACAGGAAGTGAACTGCTGCTGTCAGGCTTGTAATTTTGGTCTTAAAATGTTCACATTAACCCGCTCTACATGATCCTTTTTCCATTTTGATCCATTTATGCATCACATTCTATCCAATAAAGAAAGTAAGTAAACTACCGCTATCAGCCTTTAGCGGTAAATGAGCGCGTGGTAATTAATTATGTGCGTAAATGCCGATCATTCACACCACTATTCACGGCTCATTCAGGTCCAAAAACAGCCACTATAGTCACTTTACACTAGGCCAATGTAAGAGAAAACAGACTGTTTATGTGGGAGCTACAGCAGCTAAGAGGTAAACAATGATAAATGACCAAAAGTAGCTTCAAAACCGACACATTTGCAACACTCAGCCTCACACAGGCTCCTCTCAGATCATAAGTCTGAACTAATAAGGTTGTAGTTTTGTTTCTGGCCTAAACTGCACTGAAGTTCACTTTTATTTATAGTCAGTATGGTGGATCAGACACAAGAGCGTTTAAAGCCTCAGTGTTGTGCAGATGGATCCTGTAAACAAGCGCCTGTGAGTGACGTGACTCTGGAGGTGCGTTCAGGGGCAGTACGGTGTCACAGACACAGAGAAATTGTTCCTCAAAAAAATATTGATGCAGGGCCACATATTAGGACATTTATCTGTCTTTGGATTGGATTAAATGGACATAAAATAGAGAGTCTAAGGCCCCGTCCAAACTAGTTCATATTTGAGTCGTTTTCGTTGTGGGTGCAGTGTTCGTTCACACTAATCCGATGGAAAACGGCTCCAGAGACGGAACGATCTGGTGCCTCCAGCTCCCACGAATTCATCTGAATACAGATCTGATCCGGCACCGTGTGGACACCTGAAAACGCTGATACTCTGAGCTCTAGTTGTCGTCCTTATTGAACCACGTCACTCTGACTTGCTCCTTCCCAATTCACCGGGTTCGTGACATCGGTCATCTGACGCTATTGCGGAAAACAGTTTAAACAAAAGAGCATAGCTAGAACTAGGGATCGGCTTTTGAATAAATTGTCTTAATCGATCGTCGGGAGAATTAACGATCGATTATCGATTAATCATTAACGTTTTTATATTAAAATGATCATCATTATTATTTCTATCTGCACTACTAATCTGCATAAATAAATTCAACTTTACGACATATAAACATAACGACTCTAGAGCCACATCAGCCCGTTTGACATTATAATGTGTTTAATGCAGATTTGTTCAACTCTCACAGAAACAAAACCTAAAACCACATCACTAATTTGCATAAACTAAGTGAAAAAACAAACAAAAAATGTTTTCGGTGTCCTGATGAACTTTTTCCCACTGGACACAGAAACATATGTGCTGCTTTATACACTGTGCACATGGACTCACACTTGTCCCCAACGCAACGGAGAGCGTGGAATTTTTTGTACAAATCATCGTTAAATACACATTTGTGCTTCGGTTCGTTACAGACTGACCCACTGTTTGTGTCTCGCTCCTTCTGATGCAGAGAGACACATGTACACACCTGTTTGGTCACTCTACGCACAACAACCTACATTCGGTTTGTCGATTAAAATGAACGTAATTGATGAAATTATTAATGATCAATTATCGATTAATCGACTAATCATGCCCATCCATAGCTAGAATTGCCAGGCTGAAAACAATGTCTGGACGCAAATCGCTTTCGACACGGTGATACGGTGACTCGTTTCAATGTAAACGTGACCTAAGCTTTATAATGAGGTGTAACATGCCCACGTGGACTATGGCCCATACCGGCAAGATTTAGGCCGACAGCCGATATGTCTCCAAGTGCCCATATCGGCCCATAATATCAACCAACCGATATATCACTCAGGCTCTACTCTTAACTTGAGTAATTTCTTAATGGACCACTAACACTTTGCTCCTCCTGGTGACTGACTATGAAGCACAGGCTGCAGGACACAGACTTTTGTCCTGAGCGCTGTTACTCTCCTCAGACCGCTCTGACACAGACCTGCTGACCCTCCCTGACCTCTCCTCCTGTTAAACTGCACTGAGACCTGTGAATCTCTGGCCCCCCCCTCTGGTCAGCGGTGGTTTTACCTTGAGAAACTTGTACGCGGCGAACACTCCGACCCCGATGGCGTACAGCGGCATCAGCGTGAACACGTAGCCTTTGTTGCTGTTGCTCTTGTACTTGTCTGTCTTCAGTTCCTGCTCCATCAGCTTCTTCATGTTCTGGATGTTTTCCGCAGACTGAGCTCCGGGAGAGTTCATGTGGATCGGATTCCCTCTCACTGCCCCCGGGCCTGGACCTAAAGGGGCAGAGGGGCAAATATCAGAACTTCACCATCACAAGGACTTTTATTGTTTTAATAAAAAGTTAATACACATTTTTCTTAAAGATCCTATATTACTCAGAATTGTCGTGTGGGAGCATGGAGGACGTACGCTTCAGAATCTTACAGGGTGACAGTCTGACCCACAGGTTGGCTGGTGTGAGTCCAGCTCCCACAGATAAATGCTGTTGTTGTGTCCTTGGGCAAGACACTTCAGCCACCTGGCTCCCAGTGTCTGTGTACTCTGGTGTGCGAATGTGTGAGTGGTTTCTTGTTGTAAAGAGCTTTGAGTCATGAAGGTGGAAAAGTGCTGAATGAAAACGTGACCATTTAACATTTACAGCGAACCATAAGGAGGGTTTGAATAAGATCCAGGAGAAATCTAGTCAGACCGGCGCCACCTAGTGTCTCCGCTCAATTTCATTTCTCTCCAGCGACTAGATCAGGAATCGGAAAACACTAGATCAGGAGAGTCAAACTCAAATTCACAGAGGCCAAAAATAAAACTGAGACTAAATCATGGGCCAAACTAAAGATTTATTTAAAAATTTCTAACATCATCTGCATGTTTTCTCTTCTTTCAAGATATGTAATATTAAACATTTTCTTTTTAAAATAAATGTTTAATAATAGTTTTGCTTAAACATTGAATCCAGAAAAAGCAGAATATAAAATAATAACATTTTAAATAAATAATGCCTCTATAGTCTGTAGCTGACGACAGCTCTAATACAGATTTGATATGATCTTGCGGGTCAAATATAATTATATTGCATGCCAAATTTGGCCCCTGGGCCTGAGTTTGACATGTCTGCACAAGACAGTTCGCAAAAACCCTGGAAGTATAAGTTCAGGCACCAGCCAATCAGAGAAGAGACAGACATTCAGTGTTGTTAACAATTCCAGAGATCGAGGATTTAAAGCCGGAACAAAGAGAATGTTTGGTGAATTTTATCAAGGGGAAAGACGTTATTGTCCTTCTTCCTACGGGGTTTGGGAAAAGCTTAATATACCAGTTAGTCCCGTTAGTGGAGCAATACATACATCACGACCAAACAGCAGCGATTGATTAAATAAAAAAAGTACCCGCCTACTGTCAAGCGAACGAATCCTAATGCTGCGAGGTCACACGGTTTCTACGAAGTGAAACTGGCAGATGAATCAGGCTAGAAGAGATCCCTAAATTACTCAAACATGCATACTCAGGCATGTTTTTGATGCGGGAATAATGTAGAAATCTCCAGAAAGTCGATTTGGCATAATACTCCCTTTTTAACAGTGAGCTGGAGGACAGGTCAGAATGGAAGAGAATTAATACTTGGTTTTACAACAAAATGCAGATTATTTACCCTGGATTATGTCTAAAAGGCAAATGTTACTCTATTTTTTATTTATTTTTTAATGGCTCCTCTCGATGTGAAGGAGCAGTGGCTCTACCCCAAGCTCCTCCTGTGTGACTGAACTCCTCACCCTGTCTCTAAGGCAGGAGACTCCAAGCTTTTTCCTCCTACCTACCTTTACAAAAAGAAAATGCCAAAGAGCTATCATATTTTTCAGACTATAAGTCGCACTTTTTTCATGGTTTGGGTGTGTCCCGTGACTTATATATTAAAATGTTGACAGTGAAGCGTGGAAAGGCTCTAGTCTTGTGTGTCATTATCTGCTGCTCCTGTTCCTCCTGTACCACTGTCACTGTCTCTACTGCACATGTCTCCTGCAGAAAGTCGTGAAATATTCAGACGAAAACGATAATCGAGCAGCAGAAAGAAAGTTTTGGAGTGAGCGAGAAACTTGTGAGGGACTGGAGGAAAGTGGGGATGGAGAACACAAGCTTCACAGGAACCAGGAGGATGCATCATGAAACTTTCCTGAAGTCACTGGATGGATGGACAAAGTCTGGACTTCAGTGACACTGAAACCATCCTGTCGGGATTCAGAAAGACCCGAATAATTCTAACTGGAACTGATGCTGAGTCTGACGACAGCGACACAGAAGAGGAAGCGGCGTCTGTTTACCTCCGGAGGTCGAGGTCGAGTTGTTCAGAAGTGACACCGAGGATGAAGAATTGAATGGATTTAGTGATTTGGAGTGAGATGGAGAAATCCGTGTATCGTTTGTTCATTCGTTTTTCAATATAAAATCAAAAATAAGAAAACAAAACAAAAAAAAACAGTTTTCTTCATTATTTGTCTCTAAAACCAAAATGAAAAAAACAGATAATGATTTGTTTTTTCAGTTTTTGATTTTGTGTTTAAATGAAGAATGGAAAAAAAACAGATAACAGCCATTTCCCGTTTATGCTGGACTTTTTGCTCCGGGACCAGACCGGAACCAGACTGGGACTGAGACCGGGACCAGACCGGGACCATAGCAGGACTGAGACCGAGACCAGACCAGGACCAGACTGGGACCAAACCGGGACCAGACCGGAGTCTCAGAGCCCACAGCAGGGCCAGAGCTTGAAGCTGAGGCTCAGACCCCACGGAGGCTCGGAGTCAAAGCTCGGAGTCCACTCTGGTACCGGTCTGGTCCCGGTTTGGTCCCGGTCTGGTCCCAGTCTGGTCCCGGTCTGGTCCCGGTCTGGTCCCGGTCTGGTCCCGGACCTGGATCAGTCCTGATTCAGTCCGTATGCAGCGCAAAAGTTCCGCATCGCAGTCACAGAAGTCATGAAAACGGGAAACGGTCGTTATCCATTTTTCCCATTCTTCATTTAAAAACAAAATCGAAAACTGAAAAAACTAATCATTATCCGTTTTTTCATTTTGGTTTTGGAGACAAATAATGAAGAAAACTGTTGTTTTTTTCATTTTCTTATTTTTGGTTTTATATTGAAAAACAAATGAATGAATGATACATGGATTTGGAGAGTTTGTTAAACTTGTTCTGTTCTGTTGTTTATGTTATAGTTTATCTGAAGAACTGTTCATATGTGACGTTAACAGTCTGTTGTTCTCTGTTCTGTTGTTTTTACTAGAACTTGACTTCCTGGTTCCTGGTCTTTGGTTTTATGAAATACTTTACGACTTATAGACCGAGAAATACAATCGTAAAAGAGCGAGTCTTTTGAACGGCTCTTTGAAACGAACAGATCCAAAAGATTCGGATCCCATAAAAGAGCCGAAAATCCCGACTCTAACCCACAGCCAATCTTCTTTCACTTTTCAAGGATTCACTTTTCAAAATAAATAAATACATCTGAATCTAAAATCAAGCCCTAAAGAAACTACGTGCTGCCAGGAGCTTAACTCTTACGACACCAGAGGATAATTTGTCTATGGAAATGATCGGGTTTTGACGAGGCGCGACCGATTTGAATAAACTGAAACCTTCTCAACCATGTGTTCTTTCATCAGCCTCCAGACTCGACGAAACACAAATGTGCACGAGGCTCAGAAACCCGTTTTAAATGTGATTTAGTGTCGGGTGACAGCGCCGCAGCCCTGGTGTCTGTTTAATTGAGACGAGAGCAGAGAAAAGACTTTTGTGACGACGTTTATTCAGCAGCGTTTGACAAAAAGAACAGAACAATGGACCTGCAGTTGTTGTATAAATGATCAAATATGTACTGGGCATTTTGCTTTGGACGAGTTCTCATGAAGATACCAGAGAGACAAAAAAAAAAAAATGAACTTGCAGCAGTGAAATTAAAATTTTAAAAAATCTGAGGTTTCCTGTTGAAAAATGGTCTTGATCTTTAATAAAACAAATACAAGATCGCCAAGTTGTATAAATTTGTCATTTTGATTTGAATTTTTTTTCTATTGTAGACACGTTTTTATGTTTTTATAAATTAAAGTTCTGCTACAACACTAATAAAAAAAACTCCTGTGTTATTGGAGATGGGCGTTACAGAACATTTCTCGTCTGAAAACAAAAACAAGCACTTAAAGCTTAAAGAGCTCATTAGTCTGGTGGTTTTTAGAGGAAGGAACAGTTCTAACAGAGATAATGGACGAGGCTCTAATTCACGGGTGTCGAACATACGGACCAGGGGCCAAATCCGGCCCTCCAAGACCTTTAATCTGGCCCTCGGCTGATTTTCTACTAAAATAATTTAATTATATTTTCTATTAAAATACTGTTAATTTTCTGTGCTGTTTAGCAGAGCAGCGTCTCCAGCGTCTCTGTACGTGGCCCCTCCCACCAGAGCAGCACAAATGAAGACTTGTCTCTTTCCAAACGCTCTTAAAGGACGATCGTTTTGACTGTTGACCGTGACACCCTCATCAGAAAAATGTCAACATGAGAAAAGTGGAGCCGAGTGCAGGATTTTACAACAAAAATTGACTTATTCCTGTTTGCAAACAAGTTCATGTTAAAACATTGTGTTGAAATTGCATTTTTCTTAAAGTTTCAGGTTGTTCATAATATTATAATATTTTGTTAAAGAAAGAGTTCATCAATTAAAAAAGATTTCTGTAATAGATTTGTGTTTCTCTGCCCAAATATTTGAACTTACTGCTGTTTTGGGGGTTTGAGTGAGTTTTCTGTGTAGTGTGTGTAGACCAGGCATGTCCAAACTGAAAATGCAGCCCTCAGACAATTTTTTCTTGGCCCTCAGGCTTCCAGGTGAATTGGCCCAATTAAATTTTTTTTTTTTTTTTTTTGCAAGTTTTTTGAAAATTTACCTGTTGATACAACTGCCACACTGTACACACTTACACATCATTGTACACATACACACTGTACACACTGTACACACTGTACACACTGACACACTGTACACACTGTACACACTGTACACACTGTACACACTGTACACACTGTACACACTGTACACACTGTACACACTGTACACACTGTACACACTGCACACTGTACACACTGTACACACTGTACACACTGTACACACTGTACACACTGTACACACTGTACACACTGTACACACTGTACACACTGTACACACTGTACACACTGTACACACTACACACTGTACACACACTGTACACACTGTACACACTGTACACACTGTACACACTGTACACACTGTACACACTGTACACACTGTACACACTGTACACACTGTACACACTGTACACACTGTACACACTGTACACACTGTACACACTGTACACACTGTACACACTGTACACACTGTACACACTGTACACACTGTACACACTGTACACACTGTACACACTGTACACACTGTACACACTGTACACACACTACACACTGTACACACTGTACACACTGTACACACTGTACACACTGTACACACTGTACACACTGTACACACTGTACACTGTACACACTGTACACACTGTACACACTGTACACACTGTACACACTGTACACACTGTACACACTGTACACACTGTACACACTGTACACACTGTACACTGTACACACTGTACACACTGTACTGTACACTGTACACACTGTACACTGTACACTGTACACACTGTACACACACACACTGTACACACTGTACACACTGTACACACTGTACACACTGTACACACTGTACACACTGTACACACTGTACACACTGTACACACTGTACACACTGTACACACTGTACACACTGTACACACTGTACACACTGTACACACACTACACACTGTACACACTGTACACACTGTACACACTGTACACACTGTACACACTGTACACACTGTACACACTGTACACACTGTACACACTGTACACACTGTACACACTGTACACACTGTACACACTGTACACACTGTACACACTGTACACACTGTACACACTGTACACACACTGTACACACACACACACACACACTGCTACACACTGTACACACACACTGTACACACACACACACTACACACTACACACTACACACTACACACGCTACACACTGTACACACTGTACACACTGTACACACTGTACACACTGTACACACTGTACACACTACACACGCTACACACACACGCTACACACACACACACACACACTGTACACACTGTACACACGCTACACACGCTGTACACACTGTACACACTACACACTACACACTACACACTGTACACACTGTACACACTGTACACACGCTACACACTGTACACACTGTACACACGCTGTACACACGCTACACACACTGTACACACGCTACACACGCTACATCCACACGACAACCAAGCTACATGTGCATCTGCAACAAGTGCATCTTCAGAGCCTCTGGAAATATAATAACTCCACAGGATGTGTGGAGGGTGCAGGATATCACCACACACCGCAGTGTGGAGCCGCTGTACCACACCACAGGAGAGAAACAGCCCTACTAGGGATGTGGAACAATATTGAAATATCAATATATTTATATCAATATATCGAATAATTTAATGTGATGATAAATTATCGATTTTCTGGGCTACTGTATCGATATACGAAACAATACTGCTGCTGATATATTTTTATAAATTATTTTGTTACAGCTACAGTTTTGTTGCTTGTTTAGAGGAAGGAAACTTGTTTATGCGACACATTTGACATTTTCACTGTTTTGATGATTAAAATGTTTGTGTTTCATTTGAACTTTGCACAAGAACTGGTTTAACAAAGACTTTTAGAATCACAGCCACGATTTAGCCATGATTTTTATTGGACTGTATCGAATCGATTTGAAATATATCATATCGAATCGAAAGCTCACTGTATCGAGGTATGTAACGTATCATGACCAGTGTATCGAGGTATGTAATGTATCATGACCAGTGTATCGAGGTATGTAACGTATCGGCACCCAGCCCTGGTTTAGATCTCTTTAAACATGCTCAGAAACGGCATTTTTGCGTTAAATTTCCTTCTATCAGATGCTGGAGCTTCCGAACCTGCAGTTTTTAACGTCAGTGTGCGTGCCACAAATGTGCAACCATCACCGTTGGTACTGACCCAGAAAAAAATCGCTAAATTTGACAGAAAAACACTTTTGCGCCAGCTGTGCCGTATGTACCTTTTCTGCTGTAGCGGGAGTCCAGACGCGCATCTTTGGCCCCGGTTCCTCCTCCGCCGCCTCCGCCGACCCCGAACATCCTGGGCAGAACCACGAACGTGAACAGCACCGCGGTGAACGCCAGAGCGACCTGCTGCGACGCGGACAGCACCATGATCCGTGCGTAACGAGCCGAACGCGGGCGCACGGGCGGAGAGGACAGAGCAGCTGCGCCAAAATGTGCCAAATGTGCCGAAATGCGTCGCTTATGCCGATGTTTTTACGCACGGAGGAGGAGGAGGCGGGCGCACGGGCTGCTTCTGCTGCTGCACCACAACAACACAGACGAGAGCAGGATATCCGGGGCACGGCTTTTCACAATAAAAGACAACGTGTTCCGTTTTTTTTTTTTTTTTTTTTTTTTTTTTTGTATATTTTGTTTATAAAATTTAGTGCTGTCAAACGATAATTTTTTTTAGATTAATTATGATCTGTAATTAATTAATCTAATTAATCTATTTTTAATCTCACCTAAAAATTGCTGAGAAAAACTTCAATTTGAGGTATTTTCATTTGAATTCATTATTACATTATTTTCATACTATCATTAACGTTTTTATATAATAAGTATCATTATTATTACTATTACTAATCTGCATAAATAAATTCAACTTTACAACATATAAACCATCACCACTCTAGAGCCACATCAGCTGTTTGACGTTATAATGTGTTTAATGCACATTTGTGTAAGTCTCACAGAAACAAAACTTAAAACCGCATGGCTCATTTGCATAAACTAAGCGAAGAAAAGAAAAAACAAAACGCTCTTGTGCGCTGATGCAGTTCAGCTTCTGTTGGACTCAAGGACACGACTCAGTGGAATAGGCGAGTTTCAGCTGACGTCATTGTTATTAAAAGCCCGCGTTGCTGCTGGGAAATATTTTGGTCGGAGGCAAGAAACACGGTAGCGTCAAACACAGTGCGTAAACCTCGCGTATTTATCCCCGATAATGGTAAATTCCTGCTGCATTATCGGACGCACAAATAGAAGCACAGGAGAAGGAAAATGTCTTTTTCGTATTCTGAGTGAAAAGAACCTCTAACGGCGAATTAAACGACTTTCAAACATCCGCAGAGCAAACGTAGAAGATCCTAACAAACCGTGGACTCCAACAAGTTCAACAACACATCGAGACTCTTGGAGGTTTTCATCTTTTCTGCTGTGAATGGCCCAGGAGTTTCCACCAAGTCATTGTGGATATCACCAAAGTGAATATTTGTCCAGGTAGTTGGCGATTCCGACCAGAAATTTGGTTTGGTCCACCTTTTGTCGGGGTTGAAAAGGGTGATTTGTCGTCCATCGATGCTTATGACCAATTTCTGGTCAAATGGTCTTGGGTCCTCTGCCGTTAGACTGGATAAATAACCAGGATCAATACCCTTTACGTGCTTTCTCGCTCCATCCGTCATGTTGAATTAGTGTTTTATCAACAATGAAACTCACCTATATGAGTGTTCTTTCTGTGACAGAGGGATGTTGATGCTGATGGTGAGTCTGTTTTCAGAGTTCAGACGTGTGCAGGTTTATCGCAGATGCGGCAAGAACGGGAATGAAAATTACAATTCTTTGCGGGAGTGAGCGGAGCAGGACTGCACAGTGCGGGACATAAAAACAGATTTTATAATAAGGCGACTCGCGTACAGAAACAGTAAAGTTAGAGATTCAAAATAAGATTAACGCGATTAAAAACCATAACAAGCTAAATATGTAATTAATTCATCACAATTAACGCGATAATTTGACACGCCTAATAATAAAATTACCCTGTTATTGGTCTAACTTAGTCTCGTTATATCAGGGGTGTCAAACTAAAATTCACTAAACTCCAATCTTTTCTAAAGCTTGAGGAAAGGCGACACCTGAGGCTCTCTAAGTTCATGTAAATAAAAGGTTTTGGAGCATAATTATAATCACATCACTTTTTCTTGTTCTTGTTTTTCAGTTATTCTGACATAATTCCACAGAGCTTGAGTTTATTTTGCCTTTACCTTTATCCTTTTGTCAGAGCTTCATCTGAAACCAATTCATTCATAAATACAGCAAAATAATAATAATAATAATAATAATAATAATAATAATAATAAATAATAATAAAAATAATTCATGTATGTGTCCAGAGTTAAATGTTTAAACTTGTTTTAAAAATGGAAGAGAGTGGTGCACAGTTTTAGGTTTTCTTCTGGCCTGAGCAGCTCGATTATGGAAAAAAATCATTATCAGGATTATTTTGGTCAATAATGAAATCACGATTATTCAGACGATGCATTTATTCAGCATTTCTGAATTAAAAAAAATAAAATAAAATAAAAAATCATTATTGATAATTTACTTTGCAAAACTTTCAAATTGAAAGTAAATTTATTAAATAAAACATGTATTAAACAAAAACGTTCTTTTATTATAGTGTACTTTCTGGCTAAACGTTTACACACTGTGACTGACATTTAGAGGTTATGAATAATGATGGGCGTCATTATTGTTATTATAGATCCTTGGGAATAATATTAGAGCATTTATTTTGAAAGGACAATTCACCAAACAGGAAGTACTTTCTAAGAGCTGAATTTACGTCAAATGCAGGAACTTGACGTGTGTTTAGAACGATCTAGACTCATACTGAAGGGTGACTACTACTACTACTACTACTACTACTACTACTACTACTGCGGCATGGTGGCTGAGTGGCTAGCACTCATGCCTCACAGCAAGAAGGTTCTGGGTTTGATCCCCGGGTCGCCCAGGCCTTTCTGTGTGGAGTTTGCATGTTTCTCCCCGTGGTTTCCTCCATCAACCCAAAACATGCTCCATACAGTAGGTCTCCATAAACAGTTGATAGTCAAAGTCAGTTAAATACAATCTATTCAGTCATTGTGTCCTTAGGCAAGACACTTTGCCTAGTATGAAAGTGGGGTGTGAGTGATGGTGGTGGTCAGAGGGACCAATGGCGCCGAGTGGCATGGCAGCTGCGCTTCTGTCAGTGTGCCCCAGGGCAGCTGTGGCTACAATAGTAGCTTATCATCACCAGGTATAGAGTGAATGAATAATGCTGAATAAAGTGTAAAGTGTCTTTAGGGACAGAAAATGTCTCTGAAAGCGCTATATAAATAAAGACTTACTTACTACTACTACAACAGTTTGAGCAGCCTGACTGATGTAGAGTTTATCTGGATCACATGAACTGTGGGCAGTAAAGCTCCAAATGAAATACTTCTGAATTCAGCAGCACATTTCTTTTTGATAACAGAGCTCCACATGTGACCGTAAATAAACTCAAAGGAGGAATTCTGGTGTTCTATATATATATATAATATATTATATATAAAATTATATAATATATATAAAATTTAACTACATTCAGAAGTGTGTCAGCATCTGCAGCTTTGCAGGTTAAAGAAACTGTATGTCACATTTTGATTTTAAATTCCATCATGACAAAACTGCGTCCCCAGATACGAGGTGAACAACTTCAAATCAAATATAACTTTTACTGATAACAACTGTAATACTGGTTTATGCCCTTTCAACACTGAAATCCAGTTGGTTTAAACCTAAAACACCTCTCTCTGATCTGGTTGGTCACTTCCTAAACCTCCTCTCCTGCACCAGCCTTGAGTCAGTGCTAGTGCAGCCTCTGCAGCTCAGAGGGAATTCTGGAGGTTCTGAGCTTCACATGAGGCCTGAACATAAAGTGAGAGGGAGACACATGCAGGACGTGTTCTCTGGAGACACAAGTGTCCATGTTTCCATTTCTACCCACTGCAGGAGAGAGACCACCTCATGGACTGGGACACCGCTGAGGTCAAAGGTCACAGGCCCAGAGAGCAGTAGGTCCCACCAGGATCAGGGAGGCCATCGAGGTCTGGAAACCTGGATGAGGGACATGCCAGCTCTGTCACATGTGGGATTCAGATCTGAAGAAGTAAAACTGCAGATGGCGCTGTCGTCCTACTGCTCTGAATGTAAAGACAAACACATCGCAGAGACATGACACTCAGCAGAGTGCAGCTCAAACTCTGAAGATACAAAAAAAACACAGATTTTTAGGGGGAAAGGTGTATATATCTATCTATCTATCTATATATAGATAGATAGATAGATATAGAGATATATATAGAGATAGAGATAGATATAGATATAGATATATATAGATATAGATATGTTTATATGATCCTGTGGGACTTTCAGATACAGACTGACAGGAAGGTGATGGACCAACCAGACATAGTGGTGGTGGATAAGAAACAGAGCAGAGCCGTGGTGGTGAACATCACAACACCAAGAGATGGTGATATCAGAAAAAAGGAACATGAGAAACTAGAGAAATACCAGGGGCTCAAGGAGGAGCTGGAGAGAGCCTGGAAAGTGAAGACATCAGTGGTGCCTGTGGTGATCGGACACTCGGGGCTGTAACCCTCAAACTGGAAGAAACTACAACAGATACAGGGAAAAACAACAAAACATCTCAATCCAGAAAAGTGCAGGACTGGAACAGCAAAGATACTGAGAAGAACTCTCAGACTCCCAGACCTCTGGTAGACGACCCGAGCTGGACGAGGGTGAGAGACCAACCACCGTGGAAGGTGAGAAACACATTATTTATTATATATATTAGGGTTGGGCAAAAATAAAATATATTAATCTCTGATATTTGTATTATCTGTAAACCTAAATACACTTATCCTTGACAGTGATGTTACACACAGAAGGTTGATCTCAGCTTTAAGAGGAAACAGCTCACACTTCCATAAATTTAGGAAGAGACCCGACGCTTTGGAAAAAAAATATATTATTTGAAGTGAATTAGCAACCTGTCCAGAGGAATATTACACTGTTGTCTGCCAGTTGATTATTAAGAAAATAAGTCTAATTTTCCAAGACAGTGAAATATGAAGGGGTGTTTGATGATGTCAGAAGCCTTAAAGAAGTCGAGAAAAAAAAAAAAAAAACTTTCTTCCCCAATAACAAATCACATCAAAAACGAATCTGATTTGAAATGCATTTGTGTTTCATGAAACCACATTGATTTTATCTGTTATTGTACGTGGGACCTTCTTGAAACGACCAGATGAAACTACAGCAAAAACCAAACCGAGTCTACATCTGGACTAAACTGGACTCAAACCAGGACCAAACCAGAACAAGTGTGAACACAACACACCAAAAGAGAAATTAAATCATATTAGACGGGACGATAGGATTCTTTCTGTTCTGTTCTTCCTGTCTGGTTTGGTCTTGGCATTCCATAAATATTTTCCATTTGTCCTC